CTCCTCCATACTCTCTCCCTCCAATTGATTTTCAATCTTTCACCAATTTTTTTGTTCCCCTCATAACCTTCTCTTTCTGTTTCCCCTTTAATTTTTTTTCTTTTGCACACCCTCCCAAAAAATTCATCCACAAACCTGCACTTCTCTTCAAAAATCCCCCAAGACACAGTGTCATCGCAAAAGAGCACTGGGACAACTCCCACCCTGTGTTGTTTTCTTTATTTTTTAAAATCCACCCCTCTTCCCAAGACCCTCGCATTTCTTCTTTAAAAACCCCTCTATAAATATATTAAAAAACCCAGGTGACATCACACATCCTTGTCTAAGGCCCTACTTTTATGGGAAAAAATTTTTCCCCTCTTTTTACATACTCTAACTTGACCCTCACTTCCCTTTTAAAAATCTTCACTGCTTTCAGTAACCTACCCCCTACACCAACACTTTCAACATCGCACATTTACCCCCCCCCCAGTCTTTTTAAACCCCTTTTCCAATCCTAAGCCACAAAGACCTCCTTGCCTTATCTAAAACTGTTCACTTAAGTTTCACTGTAAACACCTGGGCCCCACCCCCCCCTACCTTTTTCCCAAACCTCCTCGTTCACTGCATCCTTTTCTCCGTCACCTTTAAATTTTTTCAATTATAAATTACCAACACTTTACCAGGGACACTCAACAGACTTACCCCCCATAATTTTTGCACTCTCTTTTAAAAACCCCCCCCTTTGCCTTTATACAAAAAATGGCATCTCTCTGCCAATCCCAGTACCTTACCCCTCCATACATTATTAAAAAATTGCACCAAACCCTCCAAAACTATATCCCCCCCCTGCTTTTTCATTTCTATCTTTATCCCATCAATCCCGGGTGCCTTACCCCCTTTCTTTTACCTAATGCCCCACAACTTCCCCACACTCACAACTGGCCTTCCCACTCCTACAAGAGTTATTCCTCCTTTCCCTATACACGAAATCACGTTCCTATCTTTCAACATTTAACAATTCCTCAAAAAATTTCCCCCCATCTTCCCAATACCCCTACCTCCATTTAAAACTCCCTCTCCATTTTTAAGACAAATCCATTTTTTTCTAGGCTTCCCTTAAATTGTTAATCTCCTCCAAAACTTTTTCTTATTTTCAACAAAATTTTTTATAACCCACCCACTCTCTCATTTGCTCCTTTTTACATTGCTTACCAAACCCCCCTTCTCTCTCTTTTTTCCATATACTCTTCCCCCTTGCATACTTCTACTTTGTAAAAACTTTCATATGCTAATTTTTCTCCCCTTACTACTCTCTTTTCATCATATTCCACCATCGCTCCTCTTCCCTCCTGCACCCACTTTCCTGTAACCACAAACTTCTGCTGAACACTCTAACACTACATTTTTAAACCTACCCCATTCCTCTTCGACCCCATTGCCTATGCTCTCATTAGCCCATCTATCCCCCAAATAGCTGTTTATATCTTACCCTAACTGCCTCCTCTTTTAGTTTATAACCTTCACCTCTCTCTTCCCTGATGCTTCTATTCTCCTTGTATCCCATCTACCTTTTACTCTCAGTGTAGCTACAACTAGAAAGTGATCTGATTTTATCTGTGGCCCCTCTATAAACATGTACATCCTGAAGTCTACTCAACAGTCTTTATCTACCAATACATAATCCAACAAACTACTGTCATTTCGCCCTACATCATATCGTGCATACTTATTTATCCTCTTTTTCTTAAATAATGTATTACCATAACTAAACCCCTTTCTATACAAAGTTCAATCAAAGGGCTCCCATTATCATTTACACCGGGCACCCCAAACTTACCTACCACACCCTCTCTAAAAGTTTCCCTACTTTAGCATTCAGGTCCCCTACCACAATTACTCTCTCACTTGGTTCAAAGGCTCCTATACATTCACTTAACATCTCCCAAAATCTCTCTCTCTCCTCTGCATTCTCTCTTCTCCAGGTGCATACACGCTTATTATGACCCACTTCTCGCATCCAACCTTTACTTTAATCCACATAATTCTCGAATTTACACATTCATATTCTCTTTTCTCCTTCCATAACTGATCATTTAACATTACTGCTACCCTTCCTTTGCTCTAACTCTCTCAGATACTCCAGATTTAATCCCATGTATTTCCCCCCACTGAAACTCTCCTACCCCCTTCAGCTTTGTTTCGCTTAGAGCCAGGACATCCAACTTCTTTTCATTCATAACATCAGCAATCATCTGTTTCTTGTCATCCGCACTACATCCACGCCCATTTAAACAACCCAGTTTTATAAAGTTTTTCTTCTTCTCTTTTTTAGTAAATGTATACAGGAGAAGGGGTTACTAGCCCATTGCTCCCGGCATTTTAGTCGCCTCATACGACACGCATGGCTTACGGAGGAAAGATTCTTTTCCACTTCCCCATGGACAATAGAAGAAATAAAAAGAACAAGAGCTATTTAGAATAAGGAGAAAAACCTAGATGTATGTATATATATATACAGTGGACCCCCGGTTAACGATATTTTTTCACTCCAGAAGTATGTTCAGGTGCCAGTACCGACCGAATTTGTTCCCATAAGGAATATTGTGAAGTAGATTAGTCCATTTCAGACCCCCAAACATACACGTACAAACGCACTTACATAAATACACTTACATAATTGGTCACATTCGGAGGTAATCGTTATGCGGGGGTCCACTGTATATGCATGTGCGTGTCTGTGAAGTGTGACCAAAGTGTAAGTAGGAGTAGCAAGATATCCCTGTTATCTAGCGTGTTTATGAGACAGAGAAAGAAAACCAGCAATCCTACCATCATGCAAAACAGTTACAGGTTTTTGTTTCACAGTCATCTGGCAGGACGGTAGTACTTCCCTGGGTGGTTGCTGTCTACCAACCTACTACCTTATTATTGTTATTATTGTTATTGTAATTATTCTATTGCATTAAACTTAATATTTCATGTGGTAAAATTTTTTTTTTTCATACTTTTGGGTGTCTTGCACGGATTAATTTGATTTCCATTATTTCTTATGGGGAAAATTGATTCGCTTTCCAATAATTTTGCTTTACGATGAGCTCTCAGGAACGGATTAATAACGTGAACCGGGGGTCCACTGTATTGTACAGCGGTGTACATCAGCCGGCCCAGCCCAGCTGCCAGATGCATGGTCGTAAGTCGAGTGGACATATGTTGAGCAGGTCGCAAGTCGGATGGTAGGTGTGTATATATTTATAATATATATATATATATAATATATATAATATATATATATATATATAATATTATATTATATTATATATATATATATTTTCAACAAACCGGCCGTATCCCACCAAGGCAGGGTGGACCAAGAAGAAAAACGAAAGTTTTTCTTTTAACCCTTTGACTGTTTACACCATATAAATACGTCTTACGAGCCACTGTTTCTGACGTATATATACTCAATAATTCTAGCGGCTTCAAATCAAGCGGGAGAAAGCTGGTAGGCCCACATGTCAGAGAAAGGGTCTGTGTGGTCAATGCGCACCACATAAAAAAAAATCCTGCAGCACACAGTGCGTAATGAGAAAAAAAAACTCTGATCGTTTTTTTGGATTAAAGCGCCGACTTTGAGGTGTATTTTCGTATAGTATTTATCGTTGTATTCGCGTTTTCATGGTCTTAGGTGATAAAAATGGAAAACATATTACAGAAATAGAGATGATTTTCATTACTTTAACGATGAAAAGGACCTTGAAACTGAGCTCAAAGTAGCGGAAATCTTCGATTTTTACCAATGTTCAGGAGTAAACAAATCACACCACACGTCCAATACACGTCAACTGGGGAGTCTAATATTCTTTCACTAGTGCACTGATATTATTTATACCATTTTTACAATAATGCAGTTGTCTGCATAACAGTAAATTTTGTATTTTTTTGTATGAATAAAAAATCAAAATAGAAAGCAATAATAATATAAGAGGGGCCTAGAGATGTGACTAATGAACAGATGTTATTTTAGTGTCAAGAATGTGTGCTTTGTTTATTCTGGACCCTATTTTGAAATTGGCATCTTTTTTAATTTGCGTGAAATTGGCCAAATTGCCAATTTCTGACCACTATATTGGGTAGCTCAAATTGGCAAATGGGCAGTTTCTTGTACTCAGCTGATAGATAAAATGGAGTTCTAAAGAAATAGCTATGAATTTGGTCAACGGAATTGGCTGAAAACAGGGCTCAAAGCCGGCGAAATCGCCGATACGCATATGTTGCAGAGACCGCTAACTTCGCGGGAGCATAATTCCCTGAGTTTTCGACCAAATTTCGAACTTTTGGTGTCATTACCATCGGGAAAAGATTCTCATCATTTCATAAGAAAAAATAATTTTTTTTTTTCAAAAATTTATCGACAGAATGACAGTTTCAGAAAGGGGCCTGCGACAGTCAAAGGATTAAAATTTAGTAATTTGTACAGGAGAAGGGGTTACTAGCCCCTTGCTCCCAGCATTTTAGTCGACTCTTACAACACGCATGGCTTACAGTGGAAGAATTCTGTTCCACTTCCCCATGGAGATAGGAAATAAACAAGAACAAGAACTAGAAAGAAAATAGAAGAAAACCCATAGGGGTGTGTATATATATGCTTGTACATGTATGTGTAGTGTGACCTAAGTGTACGTAGAAGTAGCAGCAAGACGTACCTGAAATCTTGCATGTTTAAGAGACAGACAGAAAAAACATCAGCAATCCTACCAGTCGGCCGTCTCCCACTGAGGCAGGGTGACCCAAAAAGAAAGAAAATCCCCAAAAAGAAAATACTTTCATCATCATTCAACACTTTCACCTCACTCACACATAATCACTGTTTTTGCAGAGGTGCTCAGAATACAACAGTTTAGAAGTAAATATACTTTTAATAACTTCTCACAATATGTATTTTTGTTCAGTAAATATATTTGTTTGAAGGAAAGTGGTGACATGCAGAAGTAATATATAAAATGTTTTTTCTGTTTCAGGATAATTCCAAAGGGTCTACTGTACAAGCAGGTCCCATCCTTCCTGTGTTGCTTATAGCATGTAACCGTGAAGCTGCTGTGCGGCGATCACTTGACCTTCTCTTAAAGTACCGGCCAAGCCAGGACCGTTTTCCCATTATTGTATCTCAAGACTGTGGTCACCGACCAACACGAGAAGCAATTGAATCATATGGAGACAAAGTTGTTCTAATACAGGTAAGAGCACAATTTTTTATATGTTGAATTGTTTATGTTAGTTATAAAATAGAACCCTATTATATGTGCAGTCATGACAGAATTGTTGCTTTATTCTTATAAACATATAATAGCAGGAAAAAACATCTTAACTGGGAAATATATACAGTGCATGCTCTTTGAAAGATGGGTTGTGTTATTACCATGTCGACTGAATGATGGTTAATGTATTTACTTTTACTGTTTTGGGGGGATCACCCTGCCTTGTTAAGAGCTGACTGGCCAGCATATTAACAGCAATAAAGTATGCAGCACAATCTTAACCTTATTGTTGGATATGCTAAGTTATATTGTAGAGTAAACCATTTATATTTGTGGCTTTGGTATTTACTATTTTTAACTTTATGGTATTTGATGAATGTGTAAGACACAGTCATAGAAAGTTATAACAGCTAAACACTTGAGATGAATAGGACTAATAGTATAGTAACTTTTTTTATGTACAGTAGGGCCCCACTTATACGGCGGTTTAGGTTCCAGGCTGTCGCCGGAAAGCAGACATCGCTGGAAGGCAGAATGCCATTTTTTCCATTTATAAATGCATATAAATGCCAGACAACAAGTTTACACTAAATTATATTAAGTTAGTAATGGAACTAGGCATTAAAAACACACGAAGTAAAATACATTCACAGTACATTCATTACTTAAAGTATTTGTAATCTTAATGTAGGGAGAGAGGTGAGTAGTACTTATTTGTAGGAAGTCAGGTGCAGGTAGCCCAGGTGTAGGTAGCCCTGGCTCTCTGTCTCATACTTAACCCCTTGACTGTCGCGGTCGTATATATACGCCATAGGAGATATCGTGTTTGACGTATCTATACGCATAAATTCTAGCTGCTTCAAATCAAGCAGGAGAAAGCTGGTAGGCCCACATGTGAGAGAATGGGTCTCCATGGTCAGTGTGCACCATATAAAAGAAATCGGGGAGCCAGTGGTGCAATGTGGGAATGCCATTTCAGTCGTCCTTTTTCAGCATGTCTAGCGGTAAGAAATATGTGACTCCCCAGCAAATCTGGGACTCTTCTCTTCCCAAGTGATGCTCTAACACAGATGAAAGTGTCAGTGAAGATCAATTTCATGATTTTGAGGAGTTTGAGACCAAAAGCAGAGGAGGAGGAGGAACATTCATCTGCATAACAGTAAATCATCTATTTTTTTTTTTTCAACAAGTCGGCCGTCTCCCACCGAGGCAGGGTGACCCAAAAAAGAAAGAAAATCCCCAAAAAGAAAATACTTTCATCATCATTCAACACTTTCACCACACTCACACATTATCACTGTTTTTGCAGAGGTGCTCAGAATACAACAATTTAGAAGCATATACGTATAAAGATACACAACATATCCCTCCAAACTGCCAATATCCCAAACCCCTCCTTTAAAGTGCAGGCATTGTACTTCCCATTTCCAGGACTCAAGTCCGACTATATGAAAATAACCGGTTTCCCTGAATCCCTTCACTAAATATTACCCTGCTCACACTCCAACAGATCGTCAGGTCCCAAGTACCATTCGTCTCCATTCACTCCTATCTAACACGCTCACGCACGCTTGCTGGAAGTCCAAGCCCCTCGCCCACAAAACCTCCTTTACCCCTTCTCTCCATCTATTTCTTTTGAGAATAAAAATTCAAAATGGAAAGCAAGAGTAATATACAAGGGGCCTTGAGACGTGCCTGATGAACAGAGAAAATGTTATTTTAGTGCCAATTTTGAAATTGGCATCTTTTGAAATTTTTGTGAAATTGACCAAATTGCCAATTTTTGACCATTTCATTGGGTAGTTGAAATCAGTAAATGGACAGTTTATTGTACTTATTCATAGAACAAACGGAGTTCTAGCTGTGATTTTACTTAACTGGAACATTGGTATTGGCCGAAAATAATGCATAAAATGGGCAAAATCCCCAATGTGTAAATATCTTGGAGACCGCTAACTTTGTGAGACCATAATTCCATAAGTTTTCCATCATATTTCATGCTTGTGGTGTTATTACCATCGGAAAAAGATTATCATTTCATAAGATTTTTTATTTCTGACCCTGAGAGCGAGTTCAGGATCGGGGGTCTCGACCCTGAAAGGGTTAAGCAACAGAAAAAACATACATTATAACAATAATGAACAACAATTGCATTATTATATTTATTTTTGTAAGATTTGTAGACCTGAAAACAAAGTTGTTTGGCATTTTTGGGGGTCACAGAAATGTAAACCCTATTTTTCCCGTAAGTTCTTCAGTTCCTTTAACATGGCTTCATCCAACACTGCATTTTCATGATCATAGCTACTGTGTTAATAGACGGTCTACTGTATGTGACGTTAAAAGCTCCCCAGAATGATTATTATTATTTCTTTCTTTTAACACACCGGCCGAATCCCACTGAGGTAGGGTAGCCCAAAAAGAAAAACGAAAGTTTCTCCTTTTACATTTAGTAATATATACAGGAGAAGGGGTTACTAGCCCCTTGCTCCTGGCATTTTAGTCGCCTCTTACAACACGCATGGCTTACGGAGGAAGAATTCTGTTCCACTTCCCCATGGAGGTAAGAGGAAATAAACAAGAACAAGAACTAGTAAGAAAGTAGAAGAAAACCCAGAGGGGTGTGTGTATTTATATACAGTGGACCCCCGCTTTATGATCAGCTCCCAATGCGACCAATTATGTAAGTGTATTTATGTAAGTGCGTTTGTACGTGTATGTTTGGGGGTCTGAAATGGACTAATCTAATTCACAATATTCCTTATGGGACCAAATTCGTTCAGTACTGGCACCTGAACATACTTCTGGAATGAAATAATATCGTAAACCGGGGGTCCACTGTATATGCTTGTACGTACATGTATGTGTAGTGTGACCTAAGTGTAAGAAGAAGTAGCAAGACGTACCTGAAATCTTGCACGTTTATGAGACAGAGAAAACACACCAGCAATCCTACCATCATGTAAAACAATACGGGATTCCATTTTACACTCACTTGGCAGGACGGTAGTACCTCCCTGGGCGGTTGCTGTCTACCAACCTACTACCTAGGATTATTATTATTATTATTATTATTATTATTATTATTATTATTATTATTATTATTATTATTATTATTAACATGTTCACTGAGTTCAGTCATTTCTAAAAACTACCCTTAGATGCCATCGTAAATGAGAGAGAATGAGTAAACAAGAGAGGAGAGAGATGCGGAGGATGTAAAGAAACAGACGAACATGTATTGTTACCTATGTGCTTACGGTTCATATTCGTTCATTTTGCATACATTTGTGAAGCTTTTACCCCCACAATACAAACACCTTGCAATGTAAATAAATAATAAAAGAAATAAATATAAAATAAAAATTTATTTCTTTGCTGAGGCTACAAGTAGTCTTCATGTTGGTGCAGTAGAATAAATAACAGCAACAGTCCCATTCTCATGCAACGCACCTCTTTTAGATAGAATGGCACTACAAATGAAGGCATAAGAAAGAAATAGTTTTCTAGAGTTACCCCAGTATTACTGTACTGTACACAGCCTTTCTGGTGTTGGACTAGAGAAAACATAATTCTTTCCATAACTCCTACAAGCCACCCGGCTACCACATCTCATAATAATGTCAATTTCTTTTACTGTGGTTGTACTTACTATGTTTATATGATATGTACTAATGGGAGTATGGGGGTTAAAGAACGGTGGGATAGTTTTAAAAAGACAGTGTTAGAATGCAGAGCAGAAGTTTGTGGTTATAGGAGGGTGGGTGCAGGAGGAAAGAGGAGTAACTGGTGGAATGATGAGGTAAAGAGTGTGACACAACAGAAAAAGGTCACTTATGAGAGATTTTTACAGAGCAAAAGTGATATAAGAAGGGCAGAGTATATAGAGAGTAAAAGAGAGTGGTGAGGGTGTGCAGAGGAGAGCAAATGATAGAGTGGGTAAGGTGCTGTCAACAAATTTTGCTGAGAATAAGAAAATATTTTGGAGGGAGATAAACAGCTTAAGAAGGCCTAGGGAACGAATGGATTTGACATATAAAAACAAAATAGGGGAGTTAGTAGATGGGGAGTTGGAGATACTGGGAAGATGGTGAGAATATTTTGAGGAATTGTTAAATGCTGATGAAGAGAGGGAGGCAGCAATTTCATGCATTGACCAGGGAGGTATAACATCTTTTAGGAGTGAAGAAGAGCAGGATGTGAGTGTGGGGGAGGTTCATGAGGCATTGCATGGAATGAAACTGGGTAAAGCAGCTGGAACTGACAGGACCATGACAGAAATGTTAAAAACAGGGGGAGATATGGTGTTGGAGTGGTTGGTATTTTTGTTTAAAAAATGTATGAAAATAACGGGGAATTTGCCTCCTATTTACCTTTGGTACACTTCACAGACACGAACATGCATATATATAATACATACATCTAGGTTTTTCCCTTTTTTTCAAAATACTTTGTTCTTTTTTATTTCTTTTTTTGGCCCATGGGGAAGTGGAAAAAATTTTTCCTCCGTAACCCTGGTGTGTATGAGGGGACTAAAATGCCGGGAGAAAAGGGTATAACCCTTCTCCGTATACAATTACTAAAAAAAGAGAAAAAAAAAAATTTTATAAAAGGGGTTGCAAAAAGGGGCGGGATGTAGTGGGGATGACAAAAAAACAGAGATTGCTGTGTTTTAAAGAAAAGAAATTGGATGTCTGGCCCTAGCGAACCCAAAACGAAGGGGGTAGGGAGTTTTAGTGGGGGGAAATAAATGGGGTTAAATCTGGAGTATCTGAGAGAGTTAAACAAAAGGGAAAGGGGTACTAAAGTTTAAATGACAGTTATGGAAAGGAAAAAAAGAATATGAATGTGTAAATTTAAAAAATTTTTGTGGGTTTAAAGTAAAGGTTGGATGCGGAAGTGGGTCATAATAACGTTATGCACCTGGAGAAGAGAGGAAGCAGAGGAGAGAGAGAGATTTTGGGAGATGTTAAGTGAAA